GCAAACCCTAAATTGGGCTGTACTCACTATTGAGTACCCCACTGCAGGCTAGACAAAACATAACATTCTGACACACCCCCATAGCCAAAGTGGGGTGTAATCAGCACAACAAGAAAAGCAAAACAAGCTCAGGGTGGATCACAATGTCACCACACATTCTGAGCACAAGTACAAGCAGCAGCAGTTTATAGTTCACAAATATAAGCAAAGCTAGAGGCAGTCACAGAGGGCAAGTGAGGAGGAGGAGGCTAGACTGATAGGAAAGGAGAGAGGAGGCAACGGCTGAAGCTGCAGACACACGGGCAACAGGAGCGGCACGCACTGTGGCTACCGGAGATTGTAGCCTCTGGACTACTGGAGTAACTGGCTCCGCGACTAACTCTGAGCTGCAGGAGCAACGGACCCACGGGCGACTGGCGCAGCTGGCGACCGGAGATTGTAGCCTCCGGACTACTTACTCGCTGGGCTACCGGAGATTGTAGCCTCCGGACTACTGGCGCTGCTAGCGACACGACAGCTACCTCCCTTCAACCTCCCCCAAACTGTCCCACCCCCCTTTCACACACCCCCTGCTACACCTCTAACACTACTCATACTCCACCCCCTAGCACCACTCCATAGGCTCCCACACACCCACCCCCCTCAGCGGCAGCTGCAGCAGTGGGAGACGGAGGAGGAGGAGGAGTAGGGGAGACCACGCACATTCGTCACCCCCACACTCGCCACCCCCAAACCCCAACACAGGGTAGGGCAGCAGCAGGGGCGGCAGTTGGGCAGGGCCGCGACGAAGACGGGAGGCGCGAAGCGCGCCCCCCCCCCCCCCCGCGGCCCCCCTCCCGGGCGCCGCGACGGGCGACGGGAAAAGGCGGGGGGCAGGGTCGGGGCAGGTCCGGGACGGGGCCGCTACGGGGCCGGGGCAGGGCCGGGACAGGGTCGGGGCCGGGGCAGGTCCGGGACGGGGCCGCGACGGGGCCGGGGCAGGGCCGGGACAGGGTCGGGGCGGGGGCAGGTCCGGGACGGGGCAGGGCCGGGACGACGACGGGAGGGACCGACGCGCGGCCCCCCCCTTCAGTCGCCCCTCCCGTCGCCTGTCGAGGCGACCCTGGGGGGGGCCGCGGCCGCGCGGGCCCCCGTAGGCGCCGCGACGGGCGACGAGGGGGGGCCGCGCACGAGCCCCCCGGGCGACGAAACCGCCGTGCGCCCCGGGGCGCGCGCGGGCAGGGCACCGCCGCGCGCCACGGGGCGCACGACGGGCAGAGAAGGGCGTCGCGCGGCCCCCGGGGCGGCGCGACGGTCAGAAAACCGCCGCGCGCCTCGAGCGCGCGGCGGGAAGAAAAATGGCCGCGCGCCATGGGCGCGCGGCAGGCAAGAAGGCAGCGCGCGCCCGAGGCGCGCGATAGATAGAGTAGCAGCAGCGGAAGTGTTGGGTGGGCCCATACACAGGATCGACCCGAGGGGGTCGACCTGCTCTGATTCCATGTTAGAAACCAAAGGAAGTTAAGAATGAGGAAGAGGAGGTTTCACTAGCAAGCAGTTGAGTACATATAGCAAACCCTAAATTGGGCTGTACTCACTATTGAGTACCCCACTGCAGGCTAGACAAAACATAACATTCTGACACACCCCCATAGCCAAAGTGGGGTGTAATCAGCACAACAAGAAAAGCAAAACAAGCTCAGGGTGGATCACAATGTCACCACACATTCTGAGCACAAGTACAAGCAGCAGCAGTTTATAGTTCACAAATATAAGCAAAGCTAGAGGCAGTCACAGAGGGCAAGTGAGGAGGAGGAGGCTAGACTGATAGGAAAGGAGAGAGGAGGCAACGGCTGAAGCTGCAGACACACGGGCAACAGGAGCGGCACGCACTGTGGCTACCGGAGATTGTAGCCTCTGGACTACTGGAGTAACTGGCTCCGCGACTAACTCTGAGCTGCAGGAGCAACGGACCCACGGGCGACTGGCGCAGCTGGCGACCGGAGATTGTAGCCTCCGGACTACTTACTCGCTGGGCTACCGGAGATTGTAGCCTCCGGACTACTGGCGCTGCTAGCGACACGACAGCTACCTCCCTTCAACCTCCCCCAAACTGTCCCACCCCCCTTTCACACACCCCCTGCTACACCTCTAACACTACTCATACTCCACCCCCTAGCACCACTCCATAGGCTCCCACACACCCACCCCCCTCAGCGGCAGCTGCAGCAGTGGGAGACGGAGGAGGAGGAGGAGTAGGGGAGACCACGCACATTCGTCACCCCCACACTCGCCACCCCCAAACCCCAACACAGGGTAGGGCAGCAGCAGGGGCGGCAGTTGGGCAGGGCCGCGACGAAGACGGGAGGCGCGAAGCGCGCCCCCCCCCCCCCCCGCGGCCCCCCTCCCGGGCGCCGCGACGGGCGACGGGAAAAGGCGGGGGGCAGGGTCGGGGCAGGTCCGGGACGGGGCCGCTACGGGGCCGGGGCAGGGCCGGGACAGGGTCGGGGCCGGGGCAGGTCCGGGACGGGGCCGCGACGGGGCCGGGGCAGGGCCGGGACAGGGTCGGGGCGGGGGCAGGTCCGGGACGGGGCAGGGCCGGGACGACGACGGGAGGGACCGACGCGCGGCCCCCCCCCTTCAGTCGCCCCTCCCGTCGCCTGTCGAGGCGACCCTGGGGGGGGCCGCGGCCGCGCGGGCCCCCGTAGGCGCCGCGACGGGCGACGAGGGGGGGCCGCGCACGAGCCCCCCGGGCGACGAAACCGCCGTGCGCCCCGGGGCGCGCGCGGGCAGGGCACCGCCGCGCGCCACGGGGCGCACGACGGGCAGAGAAGGGCGTCGCGCGGCCCCCGGGGCGGCGCGACGGTCAGAAAACCGCCGCGCGCCTCGAGCGCGCGGCGGGAAGAAAAATGGCCGCGCGCCATGGGCGCGCGGCAGGCAAGAAGGCAGCGCGCGCCCGAGGCGCGCGATAGATAGAGTAGCAGCAGCGGAAGTGTTGGGTGGGCCCATACACAGGATCGACCCGAGGGGGTCGACCTGCTCTGATTCCATGTTAGAAACCAAAGGAAGTTTAGAATGAGGAAGAGGAGGTTTCACTAGCAAGCAGTTGAGTACATATAGCAAACCCTAAATTGGGCTGTACTCACTATTGAGTACCCCACTGCAGGCTAGACAAAACATAACATTCTGACACATAGCGCACCCCAATTCCTCGCGTTACCGTTACCACTCTAGTTCGCTACATATTCTTTGCGCATGCCTTCACTCATTGTATTGTTTTGCTTCGCTAGTGCAATTCTCGCTCGCTCGCTCAATTGCACTCGTAACAACCTTCTAGGAAGGAACTGGAAGTGTACTATCAGTTAGGAGACCATATAAATATGTATTTGATTAGTAACGCAGAATTATTCTACTACTTTAAGAGGGTTTTCCATATGGTGCTTTCATATGAAGTCAGCATGTGTCACACTTAGATGGTGTTCCTGGCTGTTCAGAACAACCAACCTTGTACAAGTGACCTCTGTGAGATTTTCCATGACTGATTCTCCAATCCTCCAACGCCATTGGCTCCGCGACGACCAAACTTGTTTGGAAGTCACTTGCCATGAAGTCTGGAATGCCATTTTATATGTAGCTGATAGTCAGAAGTGTAAACACATTATACAGTAACAGCAGGTTGAGCAGTTGATCCCAGCCAACAGCCAGCTCATAAGGCAATCGAATTAGGGAGGGTAGACGTTACATTAGACTGTTGATAATTATGGAAAAAAATCATGCACGAGATGGAGTTTCGCAGCTGCTCGATCTTGGCGAGAGCTAATCACTCAAACAGCGTTCTGAAAAAATCACAGCCGTTCCTTTTGTCCCTCTGCGACTCGAACGTTTACACGCGACGCGATACACGGGAGTGGAGGTGGTTCCCTCGAGCGGAACAGACGCGCAATTAATCCCCCAACGTCTGCGCTGCGCTGCATTTGCACCCTTTGCCCCCGATTGAAATCGATTCCTCGCCTCCCTCCCGAATCAGCCCCACAACTTCTTCTCCCCCCCTCGCTCACCCGTTCCCTTGCCCACCTACCACTCTCCCCTACCACTCTCCCACTCACCACCACAACCAAATACTATCCAACAGCCTGGGAGAGTTGAGGACCATTGTCCTATGCTCCAATATGACCGCGCTGAAATCCCCCCATTCCATCTGTCTGTCCCTTTCTCCATTCCTCCTCAGGGCGGTCGCTCACTTGCTTGTGCAGCACGCGCAATCAGTCCATGCACGGCCGCTCCTGCTCCTCCTGAGTTCTGTCCGTTCCGTTCACCTCTAATTTGTGCACCTGCGCGCGCGGAGAAGGTGAACTGTACGCGCGCGCACACCTCTCCTCCTCTCATCGCCTGGCGTTTGCCCGGCTCACCCGCACGAACAGCTTCCGCCACAACCAGACTGGCATTCCAGCACCACCTATTGAAACCCATCACAAACCTTGTCACAAAGCGATACCGTACAGCTGCGCAAAATCAGGGTCTCTTCTGGCCAACCTAGCAGTGTAAGTGTAACTCATGCAGCACTAGCACACTGACTCTTGTATAACATTGTGCCATCGAATCCGGGCAAAGTATTCCCCGTTCCTTTCCGCTGCCGTAATCCCGCGTAACCCCGAGATCGAAACCTGGCGTGGCGCGCACTCCCATGTTGCCACGCAGTTTAGATGCATCTCTAAACTCATAGCCTACCGTCGCGCGCTCCTGGAAACTCTTTAAAGTAACTCGCGCTTACACGAGTTTTATGCCGACTCATTAGTTTCTCCCATGTCCCTATGCAGACCTCAATAGTAGAATCGAACGGGCTGTTGCGACACGAGCAGCATCGTTTTCACTCGCAGCAGCGCGATCAGTGTTATAAGCCCGAGCCTAACGGCTCAATCCCCGCCGCGGTTCCACATCGCACCAACGGTCGCCCGCTCTCCCTGCCACGTGTCTTCTCCGGCCGGCTGGAACACCTCAGCATCCCGTCGTCCCCGAGTGCTACGTCAGCCAATGGTCGGAGCCCCGCTCAGCGGGTGCGGGGGGAGCAAGGGGGGAATGGCGCAACTCGTGCGGATGGGGGCAGCGCGGACGAGGGGGAGTGGGCGGACGAACACGTGGGTTGCGCGGGCGGGTCGAGGATATGGCGCGCGCATGGCCGAGGCGGAGGAGGGGGGAAGCGCGGGGAAGAGGAGGTGTATCGACTCGCTCAGAGAACTACCGAGAACATTAGTGGAATACGAGATACTGGTGACAGTCTGGAAAAGAGAGCGAATCAGCCCGAGGATAGCGTGGTGATACGAGATTCTGGTGATAGTCGTGTGAAAGAACACGACGTAGTTCGCGTTGACCGAGTCAACGATAGTGCATTATATAGCAGTGCGGATGGTGATGTTGCCGGTGCTAATGGTGCTAATGGCGTGAGCATCGAAAACGGTAGTAGCAGCGGCAGCTGCTGTAGCAGCAACATGGAAGGTGGCAAGGCTATGGCGATCAATCGAGTGTTTGTTAACAGACTAGGGCATTTAGCCATCCCCTCGCCGCGCTTTCCCCCGGATACTCCCGACTCCGCGGCCTCGCATCCCGGCCAGCGCGACACTCCTCAAACCACCTCCCCCCATACCACGACTTCCGCCTCCCCTTGCATTTCCACCGCCGTCGCCGTCACCGCGGTCGGCAAGGCGGCCGCCGCGACCACAAGCACCGCCTCCGCCGCCGCCGCCGCCGCCGGCGCAGCAGCGTCCCCGTCGCTGCCGCCCCTCGTCTCCGCCTCTTCCACCCCCTCCTCGTCCCTTGCGCCCACTCCCTCCGCTCCGCCCCCGTCTCTTCCCGTTCCCCACTCGCCTTCCGCTCTCACATCCACAGACCCACAAATCGCACCCTCAGATACCACCTGCCCAAATGCAACCTCCCCCAAACTCGGCTCTTCGGAAACAGATCATGGCCAGTCTCCATCCCAGCAATCCGCGCCGTCTCCCGAGGACAGCTCCGCAAGCAGCGGCGGCGGCGGCGGCGGAAGCGGCGGCGGAAGCGGCAGCGGCAAGGGCGCATGCACGTGGGCGGATCTATCCCCGCTGCTGGCGAGTCCGCACCCGCTGATGCAGCAACTGGCGGAATCCAGCCCCGGGAGCGGCGGAAAGGGAAGGGAGCGGAGCCAGGAGCGGCTGCTGGTGGCCATGTCGTCACTGGCGCGGCTGAAAGAGGTGCTGGAAGGGGAGAGGGTGCAGCAGCTGCACGCCCTGCGGGAAAGGCAGAGGGAGCAGCGGGAGCAGCGGGAGCTGCTGCTGTATGGACGGCCGGGGTCTGTCAGGAACCAGCAGGCACAGCAGCAGCAGCAGCAGACGCAGCAGCAGATGCAGACGCAGACGCAGACGCAGACGCAGACGCAGACGCAGACGCAGACGCAGATGCAGACGCAGACGCAGACTCAGGCGCAACAACAGCAGCGGCATGTGGATCAGCAGCAGGTGCAGCAACCAGTGCGAGAGCAGGAGCGGGTTCAGGGTGGGGCAGAGCCGCAGCAAGCAGAGAATGCAGAGCGGAGCGCTGGGAGAGGAGGGAGCGGCAAGGGGGGTACGAGGGATCTAGACACAGCACATGCGCACTCAGCTGCTGCAGCTGCTGTAGAGCAGAAACGAGCAGCAGAGGATGCATCACAAGCATCGACATCCACAGCAACAGCAGCAGCAGCAGCAGCAGCAGCAGCAGCAGCAGCAGCAGCAGCAGCAGCAGCAGCAGCAGCAGCAGCAGCAGCAGCAATAGGAGGAATACAAGCAGCAGCAGCGAGCCAGGCAGCAGCAGCCCAGGAAGCCAGCAGCCAGAGTTGCGCACCTGCTCTAGCCTCTCCCTTGCCTGCACTGCCCTCGCCCACCACAGCGTTGCAAACACCCCCTGCCCTTCCCACATCGCCGTCCCTCAGCCAGCGCAGCCGCTGGCTGCTGGCTATCATGTCGCGCTCAAATAGCACTGACAGCGCCAGCAGCAGCAGCAACGTTACCAGCAACAGCAGCAGCAGCGGCGGCGGCGGCGGCGGCAGTGGTAGCAGCAGGGACTTCAGTCCAGCAGGCACACCGTCACCCAGGGACCCCCGTCCATTCACCCCGCACACCAACTCCCCTCACGGCTTCAGCCCTCTCTCCCCCCACGCGCAGCCCTCCCCTTCCCCCTCGTCCCACACCCGCACCCGCAGCCCCACCTCCCCCTCTCCGCCCGCGCCCTCCCCCCGCCGCCCCACACCCAGCCCCAGTCGTCTCAGCCTGCGTTCCATTCTAAGCCCTCGACTCGTCTCTAGCTTAGGCAGGAAATCCGGGAGGTGGGGAGGAGATTCCCCTGATGCTGATGTGAAAGACTGCAATGCAGCATTGAGCATGCAAGGAGTGTTAGGGGAGTCCCGGTCTGTCTCGGTTGATGGGGGCGGGGAGGGGCGCAGGGAGAGAGGTAGGATGGAGAAATGGGGGCTGCAAGGGCGGGAGGGGTTTCCGCGGACGGAGAGTGAAGGGTCGAGGCTTGGGGGAGGGAGGAGCCGTCTGTGTGAGGAGGGGAAGGGGTGTGGGGAGGAGGAAGGGGGGGGGGGAGAGTGGGGGAGAGAGGGAAGGGGACCGCGTTGGGAGATAGAGGAGTGCGGAGCGGTGGAGGGGGCTGAGAAAGGAGAGGGCAGTGGGAGAACGGAGGGGCAGGGAGGAGAGAAAAGAGGAGGGGGGGGGTCGCGGAGAGGGGAATGGAGGAGAGAAGGTGGCAGGGCAAGGCGACGTCAAGGGGACTGCGGAAGGAGAGACAAAAGGGCCTGTGCCAAGGGGCAATGGCATGGGGTCGAATGCACCGGAGCCAAAGGGATCCATGTCTGTGCCACAGGGGCTGGACCGGCAAGGTGTAGTAGGGTGGGCAGGAGCAGGGGCAGCAGGGCGAACAGGGGCAGCAGAGAGAGCTGGGGCGGCACGGAGGGGAGGTACAGGAGCAGCAGGGCGGGCAGGAACAGGAGCAGGAGCAAGGGGAAGGAGTCGCAGCGTGTCCCCAGCAGCCCGTCGCAGCAGAGTGGATGAGAGGGAGTTTGAGCTGGCCTTCTCACACCTGCAGGTGTCCTGGACCAAGGGGTAGAGTAGAGAGAGGCGAAGCCCCTGCTGTGTACCCACATACCTGCCGTTTACACACCATAGTGAGGCTGACAACGAGTTGCTAGAGAAAGAGGCTAGGCTAGTCTAACCTCATTGCGGTCACCTGCAAGGAAGTGACCGGCAGGCCAGCTGTTGAGCTGCTGCTGCTGCTGGCCTTAGTGTTTGCAATAGCACCTGTTGAGTTTAAGACTGAACTGCGTGCATGTTGCAGCTGTTGCAAGCAATGCTGCTTCTATTACTTTGCTGTGACGTGTGCCATGGGCCATGCCAAACGGCTGGTAGCCATTGTACCGATGTACCGATAATCCATGAGTTGTGCAGGTACTGGTAGTTTGGTGAAAACATGATTGCACAATTCACCAACACACACACAACCAAGCGCGGACTGAGAAAGGGTGGAGTTGATGGCTGCTCCTAATCCCTGCCCTCTTCTGCTACGCTATCTCTCCCTCATCGCCCATCACAACCTACCGTAACTCTGAAACAGTCCACTTACAAGCTACCTCTTACCCAGCCCTGCGCCACGCCCCCAGCTCGCTGCTCGTGCCAAACGCCACCCCAATCTTGAAGACAGAGGAGCTCTTGCTGCCCGTGCCCCGAGCAGCATAGTACAGCCGCATGGTGCCATCCCCCATGCACACCACATGCGGTGCCGCCACCACTAAGTCCTCCCATGCATGTACCCCATCCCCATCCCCATCCCCATCCCCATCCCCATCCCCACTCTCTTCCCCTTTCCCTCCCAAATCCCTTTTACTCTCTTCTTCCCCAGCTTTCCTCCCCTCCCACGGTCCAAACACCGGTCCTCCTGGTTCGCGCCCTTCCATCTCTACCTTCCCCCATCTGAACCCATCCCGCGAAATCGCAAGTCCAATGGCATGCCTGCCACCCCCCCCCACGCCCTCATACCACATGGCAAGAACGCCCCCATGAACAGTCACATGCCGCCGCCCCACCCCTGCTGCATCCCATGCACCAGGCGGGCCTGGGGAGAGGATGGGGCCGTGGCGGGTCCAGGAGAGGCCGTTGGGGGAGGAGGCGAGGAGGATGTAGGAGGGGGAGGTGGAGGACATGGCACTAAAGGTCATGAGCCAGAGGTTCTGAGGGGGGGTGGGGTGGGGTGGAGGTGGGGTTGAGGGTGAGGGTGGCATTGGGATAGAATGTGGGGATGGGGGTATGGGTGGGGATGGTCATGGGTTGGGAACACGGGAATGGAGGAGTGCGGAAGGGCACTATGAGGGATCAAACAAGCTTCCGAGCTTGCGACATTCTATCTTGAAATTTGATTCCGGAGGATTGGTGCGTTATTACGCTAGATGGAAACGAGAGGTCCCTGGAGGACATACAAGTAGGAAAGAAAAAAGCAGCAGGCCAACATGAGCCGAGCAGCGGAGTGGGCACGAGTCGCGTAGAGGCAGAGCTGAGGGCGTATCTCCGGTTCCGGTCATTAGCACTGTTCATGCTACTGTTTGGGTCATGCGGAAATTGCGCATGACCTGAAGTGGGCTGCCGAGCCGCGCGCGGCCCCAGCTTTGGGTCAATGTGCAGGTGTTGGGCGACTGACGTGCACGACCCACCCCGAACCAATCACCTGATTGCACGATTCTGGTTTTACTGCCATCTTTTAGGCGGTCCTCAGTCGAGTGTCACAAGTGGGCAATGTCCCACGTCCTACACCTCTGCACCCAACCGCTCGGCAAATTGTCCCCAGTGAACCTCGATGTGACTCATATTTCCCGCGTCGCGCTCCCAACATTTGGGGATTCACGCCGGGAATTTTGACGATTGTGCTTTTTCGGAGGGTGTCGCGTGGTTTTGCGTGGGTGTCGCGAATGATCTTTCGAACGATGAATGTCAACCCTCTATTGGATGCGACTGTTGTGGGGAGCGTGATTCTGTCGCGAAAACCCTCGCGGCAATTTGGGGGTCGCATAAGTTCCGAGGACCCAAAGTGGCGTTTTATGTTGTTTGGTCATCCGCAAATCGCGCATGCCCGGAACAGTGCTCATGACCCGAACCTGGATACGCCCTGAGTGTAGCAGCGACTTTTGAGGCACCTCAAAATACATATGAGCAGGAAGAAAAAGTGCAGCAGAGCAACATGAGCCGAACAGCGGAGTGGGCGCGAGTAAGCGTGTAAAGGCAGAGCTGGGTGTTGCAGCAACTCACCTGAGGTAGAGTTGCTTGAGCAGGGTCGGAGGCAGCAGAAGCGTTGGCACGGGCGAGCATGGAGGGAGTGAGCACACGCGGCCAGGCTACAAACAGATCATCCGGCTGCCCTGCTGCGCCTACATCCACCACCACTCCCTCCCGTGCTGCTGACAGCACACCACCAGTGTCACTCATACCATCAGCACCAGCAGCGTCAGCAGCACCGGTTGTTGTGACGCGGAGGAAGTGAATCCCATCCCGGGACGTGGCAATGCCAATGCGCATGGTGGCACCGTGCACGCTCACTCCCGGTCGCACCTCACGTGCCTCCCTGCCCCCTCCAAAGTAGAACATCCACCACTCGCCCTTCCCATGCGCTCCCTCTACCCCTCCTCGCCTCTCGCCGCCCCCTCCCCCTTGCGTGCACTCCTCGCCTGTATCCCCTTGCTCCACCCACACCACATCGCCGCACCCCACATGCAAGGAATCAAATGCTAAAGGTTCGTGTAAGCGCGGGGTGAGAATCGCCCCCCCTGCCTCTGGTCCTCGCACTCTGCTCCATGTCATGCCGTCGCTGCTGATTGCCAGGCCTATGCTGCCAGTGGTGAAGAGCGCGGGGAGAGGAGGGAGGGGTGTGGAGGCGGAGGAGGGAGCGGAGGGACTGGGTCCCCCCCATGTGTTACTGGAGCGGCCATAGTAGTACATGCGCCAGTACCTCTTCAATCCACCTGCTGCTAGCTCGTCGAGTCCCTGTGGTACTGGTGCTGCTCCTGCTCCTGCTGCTGCTCCTGTTGCTGCTGCTGCTGCATCACCGTCTGCTTCTGCTGTTGCATTAGCTGCTACTGCGGCATGTGCTGGCGGCAGCACCACGGGATGGAAGAGACACTGCGCGTCCCACCACGTGTCATTCCCTTCTTCTCCCTCGCGCAAGCTCGTCCCCTCAGGCGGACCGAAAATGGGCGCTGCGCTGCCCTGCTGCGCGTGGCATCTGCGGGGGTGGACAGGGGAAGGCGGGAACAGCGGGGACGGAGGGGAAATGAGGAAAACGAGGTATGCTGCTACTTCCCCTCACCCCACACCTCTCATCAGCTGATCCCACCCCACAGACATAACCATGAAGAGAACGCGCAGCACCGTTTCCCACACCTGACGCTCGTTCCACGCGCGCATGGCGTCGCTTCGCCCAGCCTCTCCGCGTGCCGCCCACCGGCGCTCCGCGTCTCCCCGCTGCGCGCCAGTCGAGCTCGCGGCGGGCGTTTGCAAGGTGACGACGGCGGACAGGCGCACTGCGCGCGGCGGACTGAAAGAAATGCCAGCCGTAGCGGGGACGGGCCTGCCGCTGACCGCGCGGGGAGCGGGACGAGATGCGACAGCGACATGCGGGGAAACCTCGAAAGATGTGTCTCTGTTAAAGCGGCCTGTTAAAGAGGGAACGAGAGTGGACGGAACAGCTTCCAGTTTTCAGGCGCTTCAAACGGCTTTCAGAAAACCTTTCCACTGAGTGGTCGCTGAAGACCGTGCACCTATGGAGACAGTAAGTTATATCTTATGTTTGAGTTATGGGCATGCACGCTTCTCGAATGATGCGTGGTGGGCATGGCGGTTAGGGAAATTCGCGATGGATGATGTGTGAGTGCGGACGATACGCGACGATGTGACTGAAATCTGCGGTCGTGTAGGCATTGCCGAGTAAAATCAGACTATTTCTTTTAGATCAGAATGGCGACTGCGAGGAGCTGCCGACCAGCCTTTAAGGAACACAGGTATGGTGGACGAGCATAGTGTGGCATGACGATGAGTTAACGTTGGTTGGCAAAGGTGCATGGGGACAGTCTGACAACTCTTGACAGCTTTGCTGAGAATTGGCGGCAAAGCCGAGGCGCGGGGTTATATCGAAGCTGATATCGAGGTTACAGAAGATCAATTCATAAAACAAAGTAGAACTGTGAGATTTCTGCAAAGCTCCGCAATTACTACTCAAAGCCAGCAGCTAAAATAGTGATCCCCGTCCCAACTTGAAAAGGTGTTGCGAAGCGAGGATGGAACCAGTCTGACAAACACTGTTTCAAACGAATTGCATGGGCAGTGTGAACTCATCTCATTGGCGCTCGCCAAAAATGGAACAGTATGGTTCCCGCCAAAATGAACTTCTTCATTTCAGCCATCGCATTTTGCGTGTTGCATCCGCACGACAATCCCCAGGCGATGGTTTTCCGTCGCCAGGCCCAACTTCATTTTCAAGTTGGAACAGGGTTCATTACTAGTACATTATTTCCACTCGCTTCCTCACTAGTTTTCAGCATAGCATAGTAAGTAGTATAGCTGAAAGCATAGGCTTTTGTGTCATAGCCACGTATTTTCCTACGAGTGCGTCAATTGTCGACTTAGCAAGAGTTCGCGCAGAAGTAATACGTGGCCTGCTAGCGCAGTGCTAATTTCCCGTCTCGCGCAAACGTCAACCCGCTCATCTCAGTCGGCCCCACCTCGTCGCACAAGCGATCCTCCCCCCCTAAGCCATAGCCCTCACTATCTCCCTTCCGTGGCCTTCGCCTCGTTTATTTCCCCTCGCTGCCCGTCACACTCGCTAGTGCTTGTGGGGTTCGCCGTCGAATCGCTATCTAGCCCGTCCCGTCGCCCTCGCAAACACACGCGCGACCGCCCTCCCGTCGTCCTCATGGTCTCCCCTTCCATTCTGTCGTATTCCCTTCCCTTCCCTCGCCGTCGCCTTCCCTTCTCTTCCCTTCCCTTCCCGTCGCCTTCCCTTCCCGTCGCCTTCCCTTGCCTTACCTGTTAACAGGAATGGAGTGTTGGCCCCGCCCTTGTTAACGGGAGTAGAGTGTTGGCCCCGCCCTCGATTGGGCAACGCAGACGACTTGGTCGGATGTACGGGAGTAGCAGCCGACCGTCCACAGTGGGATAGTTGCTCGACAGGCTTCGTCGAGCTACATGGGACCGCTGTGGTGTTGCTGTCGACCAGGGAGCTCGACAGCTGCAACTGACTGGTCTGGGCGACGGGTGGGCCATCGACCAGGAGGGGTAGTTCGACCGGGAGGTCGACGGAGCAGTCCGTCGACCTGAGAAGTGAGCAGCGGTCGACGAGGGGAGCTCGTCGACAACAGCTGACAGTTCTGGTCGACGGAAGGGGTCCGTCGACCAGGGGGTAGCTCGACGGGAGCTGTGGTCGACCAGGGGCACCTGGTGGTCGACCAGAGGGACTTGGTGGTCGACCAAAGCACCGGGGGTTGTCCAGGTCGACCGAGTAACCTGCTCGGCGAGTTTTGCGGAGGCACGCAAACGTCGTCGAGGTCGCGATGGCAAAGGCGACCTCGGGATGGTATCCCGAAGTCGATGTGGCTCGTCAGGCGCAGACAACAGCCGACGGATGCACAACGGTGCAAGTCGGGCCAATCGTCTGCGCGTATTTGCGAGCATCCGCACTACTGTCTTCTACGGGGCAACGCTCCGCTGCAGCGTTGGCACACCGTCGACCTGCTGTGTTGGCAGGTCGCCTTTCTGCAGTGCTGGCGCGGCTCCTCTACGCAACGCTGGCAGGCGGTCGACCATGCTGTGCTATCAGTCGACCAGGCTAGCGGCAGAGTTGCTAGGTGCCTGATGTAGTCATTGTTGTCATTGCTTGTTCTACAATTCTGTGATTCCAATTTTGCTAGTGCAAACTCTTGCCAATTTCTCTCGTGATTGTGCAAGCACTAAGGAACTATGCAAAGCTACGATCACTCCTAGCAGTACGTGCCAACCCCGTAGTCTAGCTCACTACCGTTGTAGAGTAATTCTCCGCATGGTGCGGTGAGCGTGGAACGAACACGCGACCTTCAGATAGGAGCCGACTTTTGCACCTACTAAGTCGTTCGTAGGCCGAGAGCAGCGATAGTCACCATGGTCGACCCCGTAGCTAATGCGGGTGTAGCGGACACCTTGGAGACACGCTTGGCCGATGCGAGGAAATGCCACGCGGATGGCGAGTACGGGACCATCCCCTTGCTGATCGTCGAGTTGGGCATCCGGTCGTAGTGGGCGACGGAACACCCATCTCGTCCTGTTTCTCCTCGACCGGTGCGAAACGAAGGTGGCGTTGACGACGAGGTTGACGGCGGTGCACGAGTCAACGGCAACAATGGCACGAAGCAGAGAGGAGTGATCAAGGTCGATGGTGGTGTCGACAGGAGTCACGCGCGAGTGCAGCAGTCGACGGCAGCTGCAGGCAGCTCACGTGCCGACGTCGATGGTCGACGTCGCTCTCCTCTACGAAGCAGTGGAGGGCTCTCAGCGACAACGCGTGTGACGGCGGGCGGGATTGCACCAACGTATGGCTACTTCAAGTTTTCTCCGGATCGGATTACCTTCGCACCTCTGCAAGGTCGACGAGACCTCATCACCTGGAGGGAGTCGATAGAACCTCAACTGGAGGTTGCCGGGCTGAAGGGCTTCGCCGACGGCACAGTGCCAATTCCGTCCGTGGACGATGTCGGGCTACGCGGGGAGTTTTGTGCGGCTCACTTGCTCACCTTCATGGCCATCTCGAGGTTCTGCTCGCTGGTGGTGCAGCTGGCGCTCAGGAGCTGTCAAGAGCGACTGGATGCTGGTCACCAGGCATGGCACTTCATCCTGTCGACGTACCAGGTCAGGGACGACTTGTACATCGCACAGCTGGAGGAGAAGATGACTCACATTCGGATGGGCGAGCAAGAGTCGGCAACGGACTACTGCAACCGTGCTCGACGGATCCTGGCTGAGATGCGGATGGTGGGCGCCGAAAACTCGACGGCGTCCTACATGTCCCAAATCGTCAAGGGCCTGCCGCGCGGCTACAACCTCATGAAGAGGATGATGGTACCTGGCACGCGCGAGTCTCTCGACGAGGACTCCATCACCAGCTATATTCTTCAAAATGAGGCGATGCAGGAGGCCGAACAGCCCACAGAGCTCCTTCCTCAGGTAAACTACGCTGCACCGACGAAGCTGAATCAGCAGCAAGGGCAGCGCAGGAATCCGGGCGGAGGTGGTAGCGGAGGTGGGCGGTTGACAATGGACATCAACGAGAAGAGGTCGACGCGGGACAAGGGCAGAGGAGGTGGTGGTCGACGGCGGGAGTGCTGGATCTGCCACGATCCTGACCACCTTTCCTACGACTGTCCCGACCGCGATGACAGCGACGAGGACGACACCAAGGGAGGCCGCGGTCGATCGACCAGCCGTCGCCCACGTCAAAATGCGAAGCCGCGCAGAGAGAAGAAGACGTCGTTGACGAAGGACGTCGACAACTCCAGCGGCAAGAGCCGAGGCGACGGGGAGGCGTCGTGCTCGATGGTCGCAAAAGAAACAGCGTGAAGCACCTGAGTCAAGTGTAAAGGTGTGCAAGGCCTCAGCAGGCGCAGTACCAGGGAGAGCAGACTCACTAGCACCTAGAGCAGCAGCCTCTATACGTGGGTCCGGCGGCACACACAGGTAACAGACACCCTCAGCACTAACGGAAAAGGTATGCATGGCAGCAAGGAGAGCATCATAGTCAAGAGAAAAGATATCAACTCCAGACCTAAGCAGCTGTGAGCGGCGGGGGTGCTCAGCCTCGTCACCAAACTCTGCGCGCCAAGCGTCGTCGAGGCGGGAGAAGCAGCGATGCTGAGAGTGAAACTTCCCGCATGTCTGACCAGCACGGTCACCCGTGCGAATGACATACGGGCAGCGAACACTACCCCCAGACGCCCCACGCTGAGCAAACCACTCACAAAGCTGCTGGGGCATAGGGGTCTCGCTTCGACGCTGCTGCTGCTGCCTCTGGCCACCGCCAGAACCTCCCCTCTGAACAGCTCCACCCCGACCACCACCACTGCCGCCGCCACCACTCCCACTACCGCCATCACTGCCACCCCCACTGCTGCCACCACCGCCGCCACCGAAGCCTCCACTCACGCCACCACTCCCACCGCTGCCACCACCTCCGCTACCACCACCGCGTCCACTGCCTCCACCACCACCACCCCTGCTGCCACCGCTACCACCCTTGCCACCCTTGCCCTTGCTGCTGCGGCGCTTCCCACTAAGAGCAGAAGCAGCCCCGACATCCTCAGCACCAAGGATGTCAACAGCAGTAGCAAAAGCGCGGGAGGGGGCAAGGGGGGAGGGGGGACACCCTTCAAAAGAGGGTGTGCGAGGAGTGCCACAAGCAGCACCTACAGCGACTACGCTAGTCTCAGCTGCAAGGAGGTGCTTCTCGAGCAGGTCGATAGTGAGGTCAGTGGGGTCAAGTGCAAGAAAGTGGTCCTTGACAGCGCGAAGAGAGTCAGGGAGGCGGGTGACTATGAAGTAGAGAGTGATGTATATCGGGGGCGGGTTCCTGTCAAGGAACTCTGGTGGGAGGGCA